AAGTTCACGCACTGTATATGATTAAATTAAAACAATGACCCATTAAACGTATGTTTTTATTTGTGAATCCAGTAAATTCAGGTACTGGCTGATTATCTTTCTCCACTAATCCATAAAATCTTAGAGAATTAAACCAAACACATATTTGTATAGTTGAAGTTTTTCCCCATCTTCAGTAACATAAGCATATTGATAATGTGGTCCTATTTTAACAAAAATATTGATCTTTTTTTTTTTGATGGCTACCATTTAAAAAATACCCATTTTTTCCCCCAAATTATTACATCTGAGATGCTATCTATATGAAGCATAAATTTTGCTTTTGTAAAAAGACTAGTCCCCCAAATCAATGTGGAGTCAACTATATAGTCAACTCCAGATTATTTATACACTATTTACTTTGGGTTGCACTTTTTAAATCCCAAGCTAACTTCCCCCCCTTCTTCCCCTTACACTTTTCGAGTTGCTAATAATTGATATATATCCTACGGATCTGAATCTATTTTATTACAAACCTAAAAAAAAATCAATAAAATACAAAACTACTTCCAAAAATCAAAGAATTCATGAAGCTTTTGATTGTTTACATCACATCTACCCCTATGAGCATAAATCAACCAGGCTAATATCAAAAGTTACCATATTGACTGAAACTTAAAAACTGATTGCAGATTATGTATCAATTATGAACAATTAAAAAACATATATTCTTCATTTCCACCTAATTAATAAATTATTGGCCTTTCCCAATGGATTGTAGTGTATTATCATGAGTTTCAGACTTTAAAAAGCCCCAATAATTTAAATGGGATGCATAAAAAATTGGGGATTAAGAAATGTTCTTAGAATTCTTATATGGAATCTGTATAGCATTGTTGGAAAATAAATCATTTCCTGTAGCAGTTAAAGAAGAGAAGAAAATATTAAATATAGGATGAGACGTGAAAGATTAATATTGGAAATTTTTGAATACATATGTTCAGAATATAGCAATAGTATGACACCATTTTCTAATTCAGTATTTAAAATCTAGTGATTCCAAATAAATATTTATCAAAAATAACATTTTTTTTTTTACTAATAACTATTCTGGTTTGATAGATACGCAGAAAACTACTTAAATTAAAATTATGTAAATAAAAAATATATTGAAATTAAGAACAGGCACTTGCTTTAATTTCACTCAAAAAAACAGCAACAAATGTAAATGCTAAGGAAAACTATAAAACACCATACCATACGTCCTTTGAACTACTGAAACATTACTAACTGGTCATGGTAGATCAAACGATTCCATTCTTTTCCCCAAAAGGCCCCCTTCCCTTTTTTTACGTCCATGATAAAATTAGGCGAAAGAGATTGCAGGATGGGTTTATGATGACTGAAACTAGAGCCAAATGATCAAACTGTTCAAAATTTCTGCTTTAGAGGAAGATAGTTTCCTCCAATTATAGGAATTCTAAATTTTAAAGATAAAAAAGTCAATGTGTGTAGGCATAGACTCCAAACTTCTTGCAGTTGCTAGTTGCTGTCGAGTCGATTCCAACTCATGGCAACCCCACGTGTGCAGAGTAGAACTGCACTCCATAGGGCTTTCAAAGCTGTGACCTTTCAGAAGCAGATCTCCAGGCCTGACTTCCAAGGTGCCTCTGGTTAGGTTCAAAGCACCAACCTTTCAGCTAGCAGTCCAGCACTTAACCATCTGTGCCACCCAGGGACTCCTTCTGAACTTCTAGTTACCTAATGCAACATTATTTAATGGCTTATATACAATTCCTGTGCATGATCTTGACAATAATCTAAAGGAGCAGAGAACTGAGTCTTAAAAGAAACGTACCATGTTTATGAATAAAAGCCAGCCCTTGCAATACTTGATACATAATATTTCTGATGACTGATTCAGGGAACAACTTGTTTCTGTGAAGAAATGAACAAAT